ATATGAGCGGGCAGGAAGCGCCGGGGAGGGAGCGAGGGGAGGGCGCCCGGAGCCGCTCGGCGGGCAGGGCCGGCAGACAGACAGACACACGGACAGACAGACACACACACAGACAGCTCGGCAGCAGCCACAGCAGCGACAGCAGCCACAGCAGCGACCGTCCGTCCCCACGGCCATGGGGCTCGGCCGGCTCCCCGCACCCCGCCGTGAGTACCGCGGGACCCTCTCCTTCCTCCCCGCTTACCTGCGGATCCCCCGCGGCTGCAGAAGGCGTGCTGGGAGCCTCCCAGCCTCCTGACTCCTCGTTCGGCTCTTGAGTTGTTGGTGTTTGTGTTTTAAACAGCTATTTCTGTTATTTAGAAGCAGGGGTGGCCCCGGCGCTGGCGGAGCTCGCAGCATCCTCCGGTTCGGTGCCGCGGAGCGGGGAGGCTTCTCCCGATCCAGCCGGGATTTCCCCACTGGAGGGAGGCAGAGGGGAGGCGGCGGGTGCCAGGGTGGGCTCCGGAGCAAAGGGGCCCCTTCGGGCGATGCTCGGGGGGCCACAGCGCCGGGGATCCCCCCTCCAGCTCCCCTCGGGGACCGCTCCTGCCCGGCGGACACCCGCACCCTGCTTCTCCTGTGCCATTTCTCTCTCCCCTGGGGAAGCTGTGCGCCGAAAGAGTAAAGCCAGCGTTACTCCGTTAGAGGGCAAAAAGCTAGGTGTTTTTGTTATCTGCTCGCACATTCCTCCTTGCAGAATTAATTTTTACAGGAGCACGAATAACTAATCTTCGAGGTCAGCAGTTTGTTTTTATTGTACTTGGTATATTTTTCTCAGTAGCAAACATCCATCCCAGGTCCTTAGAGTGATTGTGTGTAGTCTTGGCACAAATTAAAGCAAGCTAGTAAAAAAAAAAAATAAAATGCCTCGATGTATATTTACTCATTTGAGGCACACAAGATTTTTCAACTCTTTGTAACAATTGTGCTTGTATGTATCCAATATACTGAAATAACTCATTCACGTAATTGTAAGTCTAAATTATATATTTGTCTGCTGGGCACATATGTTGAAGGAAAAACCTCCCTAATTATGGATCTTTCAGAGAGATTGGAAGGGTGACAAAGCCCTTGTAATCTTTTGGGTCAATTTTCATAAGCTCCAAAAGCTCCCTTTGAAAAGGAAATTAAATTTCAGTGTACAAAAGGGACAGGAGATTCAAGGATATAAAAAAAGAGTCTCTTATTCTACTTTGATCTTGTCCTCAAGAGTTCATTTACTGTGGTGCTCTTCAGTGACACAAGTTAAAATGAAGAGTTGTCTTTAGCTGGAGTCTTCCTGCCTCTTGGCATTTCGGGAGGTACTCAATTAGCAACACACACTCCTGTATATTATTTATACAGCTTCAGCTGGAGGGGTGGCTCTGTGTGGAGCATCTGCTTGGAAGCACTTGGCTTGTAACATCCACAGCATCCTGTGGCACCCATGCCAGCCAGAGCCTTCCACAAGTGTGCTCACCCCTCCTCGGTTCTTCTGCCCCAGTCTGGAGCCGCTGGTGCTCTGCACAATGTCTCGACAGAGCTGCTCTCCTGTTAGAAGCTGGGGGTGGCCCTGAGTTCCTGCTCCTGCTTTCAGCAGAGGCAGATAGTTGTTATCTGCAGGGCAAGGCTGTGCTGAGGTCCTTTCTGGGCTTGTCTGGGAACCTGACAGTTTTCAATTGAGTGAGTGTCCAGTTGGTAGCTGGGGGTAAAGGAGGGAATGGTTGGATGTGAATGAAATGAATGGATCCGCTTTTTAGTTAATTGCATGTGTTTTCTTGATTATCCTGGAAACAACAAAGACCCAGCATAGGTCTTTGGTGAACTTGGTGCTCTTTTCCTCTGCCAGTTTCTCATTTAATTTACTCTGTAGGGTAACATTTCCATGCCAGGAGATTTAAATCCTGTGCCTCAACAAAGTCCCAGTCTATGGTTCTGCCAAACTAACTGTAAAGTTATCACTAAGTTTTTAAACTGCAGTTCTGCTAATACACATTTATTTTACCTTTTTGCTTAGTAGAAGCATTGTCTCTGAAAGTGTAAAAGAAGAGAGAAATTGTATTATTTATTCTTTTGTCTCACTCACTTGGTGCACAATTCTGCAGGGGAGACACCAAGTTGCTCTGTTTGTATGAGTTGGTCACACATCCTGGCCAAAAACAAACTTGAAACCTTCTTTGCAGGTTTTTCTTCCAAACTTGATTATATATTGGTAATGGCCTCTCAATTGAGGAAGGCTGCTTTTCAAACTGAACAAAATTTTGTATAAGTCTTGGTATGTGCTTATCATTTTCTTTTTTTGTTTATGTAAAACTGGGAGCAACTTGAGAGGAAATTAAGGTCATGCAGATGGCAGTTCCATCTTCTAGGTTATAAAAACATATTTTATGTCAAGTGAGTTGCAAATGCTGCCATTAAATGATAGTAGAAATAAATTTTTACTTGGAACATCTTTTGCACCCATTTTCAAAAGCATAGCGGAAGCAGAAACCTGCTTTTAAAAAGCGAAGGAGAGAAAGCAAACTCAGCTCCACAGCATATTTCAAGTGCTGTTAATCTCACCACCTGGTGGAGCTTTTCATGGCTCTGGCTGAGGGAACTCTGAAAAGGATGCATTATTTTGTCCTGTTTCAACACAATCACATGCCACATGTGGAGTGCCTTCAACTTTTTTCTTATTCATACCCGACTTAATTAATTTTCCATGTCTTCTGTATCTTTTATACTTTGCAGCAGGCAGCATAGGACTATTGGTGTCTCACCTGAAGCAGCAGATAGATGAACTGGTAAAGCAGGGGATAAAGTTTTCACCTACAAATACTTAAGTGGAAGAATTATTTTTAATGAGCAGACCCTCTGCCAGGATACTCAGGTGTAATCTTTCAGTGCAAGCCCAGTTTGCTTTGTACTAATAATTTTTATATTTTTATATAAATATTGCTATAAAATATTTTTATTTACTATAAAATATTTTCTAAACAGCCTGTTTTCAATCAACCTGGCAAGGAGCAGAAAGCAGATGTATGTTGAGCTGAACTGAGATTCCTGATGTAGGTAATTAAAACATGGGAATGAATTCCCGGAGATAAGGTGCAGTATGGCAGATACACTTTGCCCCCCTCTGCCACAGTCTTGCTTGACTGCATCAAAACCTGTCTGTTGTGTTTATGGTGTGCCCTCTAAGTGATAAATGAAAATCTAACTCACAGGTATGCAAGCTGAAAGTAAACTCTGGGGTTATCTGTCAGCTCACAATTCAGAGGAATTGCTTACAACAGCGAGAAAGCTCCCTGACCCATGCAGACATTTCCTGCACAAGACATGCAGCCTTGCGGGCAAAACACTGTTCTAAGTGTTTGTAATGCTCTTTTTGCCACAGAAGAGTCTGTGGCAGCAACCAGCAGACCAGTGGAGGCCGTGGCTAGCCTAGGAATGTGACAGCTCCCATCTGCATCTCCAGTCCTGGCAGCAGTGGTGTGCCTGGTGCCACTGGTGGGATGGACAGCTGCCTTGCCACCCGTGCAGAGCATGTCTGCATCCCTCTCTGGGCTAGCGTGGTGTCTGGTCCATTGCCCAGTGCGTATCTGCTCTGTATCACCCAACATGTGTCTGCTCCAGGGAGCTGGGTATCTCCTACCAGGCTTCAGGGATCTTGGCTTCTCAACCCTTGTCTCTTAGTGCCAGGTGGTTCAAACAGCACTATCTGCCCTTGTCTTCTGGTGTTCCAGAGCAACAGGGCTGGCTGACACCTGGGGCTGTATTTGAGACTTCAGGAGGGTGGGTTTGAGGTCCAGGGTATCTTCAGTGGCACCTAAAATGTGTTTGGCAACTGAATTGACCCTATGGGAGCTAAGGGTGTTTTCTGAGCACAAACCTCTGTTATGACATAGATAATATTATCTACATAAGCAGTCTCTGTTCAGGCTGTATGTCTGTTACACTGCATACACTTCTTGTGACCCCTCTTGTCCTGATAAGGCCTCTGAGCTGACCTAGCACTACTTAACAGCAACCACAGAGCAACTGCTGTCACTTTTCTGGTCACCTTTCCCACTCCTATCCCAACCTCCTCTTCCCACTGGTGCCAAAAGTCCTGTGCTCTGGTTTGTAAGTAGTAAGCTCAAGTCATTTTATGTAAAATGTCCCATCAAACTTTGAAAAGCTCGTTTAAGTTGCACAACCCCCTCAAGCTGTGGAATGTGGAAAATGGGGGGGTATTGACAGAAAGAATCACTTGTTAAAAAGCTCCCCATAGTATTGGTAGAAGCTTGCTCTGAAGCATGAGTCAAGATTAGGAATGTCATCAATTGTAAAGACTGTAGTAATTGTTAAAATGCAATTCTGGGGGAAAGGAGGGTGGAAAGCAATTCTTTCCTGGCTTTGTTTTACTTTGAACTGCCTGTGATTAAGTTGCTTCATCTGGACTGATGAGCACGTCCTTCCTCAGGGAGAGGAAGATTTGTGCCCTGTGTACGAGATGACCAAACCTCTGAGCAGAGAGGAGTTGAATTATTTCAGGAAACCTGTTAACCTCATCAAGCTACATCTGTTTCTCTGGGCCAGTCCCACAGCTCCTTCTGCCAAGTAATTGCAAGGTATTTTGGAATGCAAGAGACACAAAGAGACAAAGTGGTTGAAACCTGCACCTGGGGACAAATGTTGGAGGTGTAGCTGTCTGTCTCTGAGGACATCATCTCAATAGAACTCCTTTTTGTTTGTTTTTTCTTTTCCATCTCTTTGGGAAGTCCTTTGTCCCAGCAGGTTTTCAGTTCAGGCTCAGCTTTCCATCCCAAGAGATTTGAGGGAGGGCAAAGGAGGAATGGGTGACAGGTTAGAGCCCACAGGATTCAAGAACAATGTTCCCCACCTTGCTGGTGCCTGACAGAGGACTGCTGCTGGCATGGAGGTGACCACACATACTCTTGGTATCCCCAAAACTCCTGCCGTGGACTCCTTATGCATCCCTTGGGAGGGTGGTTCTACAGAGTAGAAACTGGCACAGTGACACTGAGGTATTAAATCTGATGCATTTAGAATGTCTCTGGACTAAATAATTGCACTGACATTTTCCAGGATTCGTGGAGTTTTGGATTTTTTTTGTTTGTTTTTAGAGCTTTGGTACACCAATACAAAACAAAGGTTTTTCCTTTTAAAGGACACTACATTATTTCTAGAGGCTGGATCTTCA